TTGTTGTTACTGAGTTTTGGAATATCAAGACTGGACATTAACAACAAAAATAGATGTACTATGATGTGTTTAAATTTATTGTTTCTTATATTACATTATTTTCAGGCATACTAATTTTTCTCCAAGTTTAATTATGTGCATACCTTTTATGTTTTTGAAATGTAGCTCACCTAATCAACATTTTCTAAATACTTAGCCTTTCTTTCTTCATGTTTTCTATTCCCATGAATAAATGTATTGTTACACATGTATGTAACCTTGTCATTCATCTTTATATTTCTTTATTTTGCTCTGTCTTGTGTCTGTCTCTAACAGGCTCATCTCATCTCTGTACCTCCCTCATCTCCTACCCTTTGGGTACTCTAAATGCGTTGAAGGTTTCTGAGGTAGTGTAAATCAGCTTGGTCTCAAGGTTAATAGTAATGTACCTTTATGTCTTCATCCCAGTTTCCTTCAATACGCATGAGCTTCAGTGGATTAAGCAGTAGCAAATAATGCTATACTTAAGCGATGTATTATTCTATTGATTTGAATTTGGCCAAATAGAAGTTAAAATCTGCTGTTTTACAATACTTATGTACGTAATTTATTTAAAGAAGAAGAAAACTATAGGTAAGGGCTTAAAATTAGTTAATATGATACTTTACAGATATTTTGAGAATGTATTTTACAGTTGCATTTCTATAATGAGATGCTTTAATATACTGACATTACTTAAAATAAAAAAATAGTACTTTGACATAATTTCATGTTCCTTCCTCACAACTTTATGAAGAGGGAAATGGCTATGCCAGTCTCACAATGGACTTAATGAAAAATTTGTGAAGTAATAAGTAGAATGACAGAACTTTCCTTTTCTGATTATCAGTTACTTAAATTGCTCTCAGTTTTCTCCTATGCTTGCCCCACATCTTTTATAATTTGCCCTGGAAAAATCCATGGTCTATAATAACTTTTTTTATCTAACTGATAGATGCTCCCTCATGAAAGTCCAGAGGAAAAAAGTGAATTCATAACTCAAAGGAAAATTAATTCAAACACTTGCTAATATGAATACTATATATTATGCACTTTGATTAATAAGACGCATGACAAATATTAGAGTTTTGGGTTTAAGATGGTGAACTAGTTGAGTTTAAAAGCCTGGAAAAATAGGGGCATCTGGCTTGTTCATTTGGTAAAGCATGTGATTCTTGTCCCTGGGGTCATAAGTTCAAGCCCCATGTTGGCTATAGAGCCCACTTTAAAAAAATAAATAAATTTATAAAAGCTTGGAAAATTAAACATATGTAGGATGATGTTAGGTTTCTTAAATGCTTATATTTATATACTCATGATCATTTCCCAGTTAATACTAATGGTGTCCACTTTTCATTTGTTTTTGAATAATCTACTCTAAATATAATTAGGCTACTGAGTTAATAAATGTCGCTTTCTCCCTCTCTTTTTGTTTTTTTTTTTTTTTTTGGGATAGCCATATTCATGCCTCAAAATTATTTAGATATTATAATAACAGATGTGATTAAACATTGAAATGACATTTATTTATAGGATATATTAATATGGGTAGTGATCAATGGATAAAATGAAGGTAATATAAAGAAATAAAGATATGTATGTTCAAAAGCATTGTGGCATAATGATTCGAAAGAGTATCATAAAAATTAGCATTCATTAAACTTCCACACATATATGTGAGTGCTAAATCCTAACCTTATTCGATTTTGTCCTGGAGGGAAAAATATCCCAACAAATTCTTTGTTATTCTATTAGAAAACATACTCTCACTTTTGTTGAAAGTAAAATCCTATACCTGAAAAATTGACATTCTGAGAATTATTATTGTTTTAAACATCAGAGAAAATAAGGGATGCCCTTTCAGAATCTATATTTATGATTCTTCTTTCGTAATAGTATTTAAGTTAATAAAAGTCGTTTTGAAGTCCAAGCCTATCCCCTTCCTCTGAAAGGCAGTAATTTTTGGAATAAACTAAAGAGATCAGTGTTTACAAGGACAAAGACTATAGTCATAAAATTTATTTTAATTTATGGAATTTTTGGCCATCCAACAGACTATACTTCATGATTTCAGTTATATACATCTACTAATATATAGATAGATCTAGATATATAACAAATACAATTTATGTCCCTTAAAGGCTTCTATTTTTTTTTTCAAAATAACCCAAACCAAACTTGTTAGTTTAATTTTTAAATGATAATATCTATCTGTTTTTCTGCATCCTGCCAAGTTTTCAGATACTACCTTGAAGATACAAACTTTTAATGTCTATTGTTTCATTTTAACAAATTAATATACATATCAAGAAATAAAACTTGGAGTTCCCTTTAAACTTTGCAGGACTCTTGATGTGATTAAGTATATTTATTACATTTACTACTTTATTTAACTATTACCTCTGAAGTGTAAAACATATCAAATTTGTGGTTTATATTTCTAGCATAGGTTGGTAGTTTGAATGCCTTTTTCCTATATTCTATTCACACCTCTAGAATTTAGAATTTACAAGAAATTCCCTATCATCTCCAATATCTTATACTAGTTAAGTACTCTCCACTAGGTCCTTATTCATACCGCTAAAAATAGTCATAGAGATACACTTCAAACCTCTTTCTGATTATCACCTTTATGAGGTAATATTTTGTAAAATTTTCATCTTAGAACAAAAATAGAATAGAACAATAAATCTCAAAGTGTTAGTATTTATAAGAGGAAATACAAATGCCAGTATTTTAAAGATATCACATGAGCTGATGGTAATTTGTAAAATATTCTGCTTTTAAAGTATATATATGAAAACACAAGCTATCCAATTTGTTCAGATTTTAAGTTATGGCATATTTTCTATCCAATTAAATCTCTTCAAAGTGGGTGATTTTGCATTGGGTTAACTCTCTTTTTGTATGTATTTGCTGATCGAATTAAATAATTGTCCCTCCACGCAGTTTTAGATCACATGAAATAAATTATTATAAGAAAGCCAATATATGTTTATCTCATTTTCCCATGCCTTGAATTTCACCTCTCAACTATACGGAACATTCAGTAAATTTAGGTTTAAATATATCTAATGTTCTAATTCATGAAAATATGGAGAAATGATGTGAAACTGGTGATTGAAGACATCTGTTAGTAGCACAAATGCATTATGTAAAAGGTTTTTTTAAATTACAGTTATTATTTTGAGAATGATAAATGAAATGGCTGCTAATGAACAGTTCACAGTCATAGCCGCACATGGCAGTTAGAAATGGGAGAATGAAAATAATTGATGCAGTTTACGTCTGTCATTTCTCTGAAGTTCATGTATCTCTTAGAATATGATATAAAAAAATAGAATATGATATAATCAGAATTTCTGCATATGGCTGGAGGTAAATTTGCTTTAAAAACTCATTTTTAATACGCTGGTTAATTGAACATAATAATAAAAACAAAAATTAAAAAAACAATAAAAGTTCAATTTTAAAATCTTCACCAAATGTATTATTTTAATTTGTATAGTGATAGCAGAGAAATATTGATGTTTTGGAAGAATCATAAGTTCATTATTTCTGGCAATATAGCAATTTTAAAACATAACAAAATTGTACGTATTAATGAATGACCCTTGCTTGAGAGGCTTAATCATTCCAAAAGCAAAATTACAGTTAATATTTGAAAGCAAATTATTAGATTTTAAGTCATTCTTGGTAATTTCTAGGTAACAAAGGGTAAGTGGGATATCAGGAAAGAATTTGAAGAAAAGGTTCTGTTTGTATATACACTAGTAGTTTAGAGAAGGTTGGATAAGTAGAGATTCTAGTAGGTGGAGAAGATGAGGCTAAAGGTGAACTTTGAATAAAACTGAAATTTAGGTAGGGTGCAGAGAAGAGGCAGGCAGAGAGAGGAGAGAGTATTCCTGTTGAAGGCTGAGGGGAATAAGAGCAGTTAAGTGGAGTCACTGAGTTATGGTCATAAATATAGTCAAGGCTTCAAAGCTGGGTTGCCATTACTCATTTCACAGCAAAAGTCGTAAGTGAGGGTGGGAGGAGGTTAGGGAAAAAGAAAGATGCAAGTGAAAGTAAGCAGAGCTTGTTAATTTTTACCATTTAATTGCTGAATATGGACAGATTTCAGATAAGCTGTGATTGAAAAAGATGTATTTCATGAATAGTGGAATTTAATTACCAATTGTCACATCCCCACCTCTACTGTCCATTTAACTAATAACATAAGCTTCCCTATAATGGGAAAAAACTACAAAGTAATTAAGTTGCTGGGTTAGTGTTAATGGAAAACTAACACAGTTCAAGATTATTGGTCTTTTCTCATGCAGGGCAATATCAGTATACTTACATAATTGAATATAACAAAGATAAAATCATATTCACAGGGTCTGTACTGTGTAAGGGAAAGTTACTTCTAACTGCCCCTGTCATACAGAAATCTCTAGATGTTTTCATCAAAGATTTTTTTCTCATTGTTTTCTTCAGGTGGAATAGAAGCTATGGATACGCTGTGTACTCAGCTATATCTGAATAAATAGAAAAATATTTGCCCTTTTAAAAAAATTACATTTTAAATTCTTCAGGTTGAGCTTAAATCATAGATGTCTATCTTGTCATATATATATATATATGTCATTTATATGTGTGTGTCATTAATTATGGACAAATTAGAACTCAATGATATTTCAAAACCATGATTAGATTTAAATATTTTATAGACAATCTTCTTCATAGAGAATAACTGTTCAGCTATGGAGTTTTAACCTGAGAATTGGCTTTCTTTTTCTTGACTGAATTCTCCCATTTCTATCTGTAACAGACAAATGATACTATTTGTATTGGTATAGATCTATTTATATTGACCCTTCATGCTTACCTCATAAACTCATTAAGAAACCTATGATAGCCTAGATGAATTCATATTTCACTCAATCTGTCTAGAATTATGTAAGTAATTGTTTGTATTCTGTAATAACAATTTCTTTTAGCAGGTCAGGTTGTTTCTCCTCAGTCTGCTCCAGCCTGTGTTGAAAATAAAAACGATGTGAGCAGAGAAAACAGCACTGTTGACTTTAGCAAGGTAAGCTTTTCTCTCTCATTTAATAAGCCACTGAGTTATTACTAGAAATTACTACCCATTTTAAGAGGCGTGGACACAACTTTTTGCATGCACTTTTTTTTTTATTTCTTAGCCAAAGCTTGATACTGTTAAAGATGATGTTAGCATTCAAATTCACATGTAACATTTTGCTTATTCACAAAACCAAATGTGTAAGTTTATGTATAGTGTTCAGGTTTCAGCCACTTGGTATAATATATCTCTTATAGAAAAAAAGGAGAGCTGGACTTCACAGAGAAGTTAACAGAAGTTTATTGTTCAAAACTATTGCTGGTTATTTTTTTTCAAAATCGTTTTTCTCCTATTTGTGGAAAAACAAACCATATGATATAAACTTCACTGTGGTGATCGAGGAAGGCCTTAGTGTAAGGAAACACTAGAACCTAGTAAGACTGAATAGAGGTTTGAATAAAAACATAATAACAACTGACTCTGTTGAGGGATACATCTACAGAGAGACAATTCAAATGAAATCATTGACTTGAACATATTCTAAGAAAATAGAATACATGTGATTTGGGTTAGCAAGTTCCCGACAGTGTATCTGTGCTATTGTAGGTTATGGCAAACTAACACTTGACCAGGAAAGAGGAGTTTCCATATTAATGAAAAATAAAGAGGGTCAACGATTCTTTTTATCTGAGTGGCTGAAACAGTAATAACCCAGAGTGATGTTTTTTTTCCCCTGAAAGCACTTAGCACTGGCAATGACTGTAACAGTGGGAGGAGGTGGGAATGGGAGGCAGAGTAGAAGTTGCCTGCATCGAGCTTCTGAAGATGAATGGCGATCAGCTCCCTGTTGCTGTTTCAGAATGCCTCTGCCAGTGCCTAAACGGTCTAGGTCTAGTCGTGTGCATGTTCTCCCTCTGGTGCCTGGTGGAGTCTCCATGGGAGCACGGTGTACCAGCTTAAGTCTGTTAATTATGCGTGCAGGGACTGGGAGGCCAACAAAAGGGGCATACTAGTCCCTGTGGGATGAAACAAAGGCATGAAAAAGGACCTCCACACCAGCAAGAGAGAGAGGTGAGGGCATACTCGGGCTATCTTTCTACAGTGGTTCCAAGCTCATTTCACCATATGGAGGCATGCGATTCAAATATTAAGCCAGTTCAAATGTATTATTCCATTTCCGCTCCAAATAACATATCTTCTTAAAGCATTACATCTTCATTCATCTGCGAGTTGGAATAAAATTGTCACAAACTGCCATACATTTAATTTCTGAAATTCTTCATTTGAAACAATATCTTAAAAGCAATGACATAGAAAGTTGCTTACTTATTTATGCAGGCACTAACAGTGTAACAGGAGCACATTTAACACTCTCAAAAACAATGATAATGTATCACATCCTTTGAAATAAACTACCTTTTAACTTTTTTCAAGGATATAACCCCTTGACACTGAATTTTATATCTCCATATCATTTTGCTTTTAGTTCTCTGACCTATCTTTGCAGCCTTCACAAATGCTTTATCACATCTGAAAGAAAATGGATACTGTCAGTCGGAGAGAGTAGTCTTATCTTCAGGTCTCCCCCCCGCCCTTGCCAAACAATTAGAACTACAGAAGAGAGAAAAATATATAATCTTTCCTTTAATCCTTGTCTTCCTTATCGCATTTCCAATCAGTGGTCCATTTCATCTTTTAACAGGCAAGTGAAATTTCTACAGCCTTCTACTCAGTGCCAACCATCTCTATTCCCCAGTTTCTTGTCCATATCATGGCACATTGTAAAGAACATGGCTTTTGAGAAAGAACATCAAATCTTGAATCCTAACTCTAACATTTATAAGCAATCCGATCTTGGAGAAGTTCTCTGAAGTTCAGCTTTCTCATATGTAAAATAAGAACAATATTGCTTATTTCTAATTTTGCTGTAAAAATCAAAGGAGGTAATATAGAGAGCCTGGCAGAGTGCTGAGCATATAGCAGATCATCAATAAAAAGTGGTTTTTATTATCGTCATTGTTGTTGTTTTAATATTAGTTGAAATAGCATAAAAAATAACTACTAGACCAAAAATTTAATATGTTTTGGTCCCCCCTGGATATCTGGTGCCTTGAATGGTGCTTGGAATGTACTTGTTGAATGAATCCTATGAGATTTAATGTAATTCAAGCCTTTAGTTCTGGAACTTTTTTCCAAGTAATACTTCTTACCTTATAACCTGAGAGGGCAGAGTAATAGGGTTTGGAAAGAACAAATATGATCTATCATTACAGAAACAAATTTTAGTGCCAGATTTTACAGGCATATGAATTAAGTGTTTTTAGCCCTGATGATTTCAGTTTGGTAGTGAATTTTATGGAAGTTCAGCTAGTCTCTAGGTTACTTTGACTATGTTAATATTTAAGCTTTATTAGGTAGGTTGCAAAACCCAGTAGAAATTTGAGATGTTAAGGGGGAAAAAAAGTCTTTATTCATTTTATGTGACCTAATACTGTATCCTAGGTACATTAAATCTATATGTTTTTAACCCTTCCAATAGATAAGCTCATCAAATTTATTAATTTGTGGAATGTTTTTGAATATAAGCTGAGGTTGTCAGGTTTTTGCTTCCAATAAGTGCTTTTAAAAAGCAGATGTGTCAAAAGTCTATTGCTTTTTGTTTTTTAAACTGACATGTAGAGGATGGCTATTTTAGTGTTTCCCAGGGTGTTGGTGGTGTTTATTTCAAATGACCCAAAGAAGACTTCACATTATTTTCTATGTAGAAGGAACTTTCTTCTGCATCTATCTTTGTATGTGAAACATATTACAATACATGGATTTTCAATTCCTCGAACTGTAGGAAACCTTAGCAATCTTCTCATTTAGGAAGTGAGAAAGCTGAATTCCAGAGAGAGTTAGAGAGCTGCTCAAGATCACTAGCTGGTTAGGGTCACAACACCATCTCTCCTCAGAGAATCACTATTAATTTTCTAGTACTTTCCCTAATGGGCTTAAGACTTAAACTTTCTCCTTAAAGTCCCATCACTGTTTCCTTCACATCTCAGCACATGGCTTGTCCAGACACTTCTTGTTCTGCCATGATCTTCTGTCCAACCTTGTTCCCTAGAGATATACCTGTTTCTCACTTGCAGCTCACGTACCAAATGCAGAATAAAACATCTTCCCCTTAGCGTAAAGGTCTAAAGAGCCCAGAAGCATGGGTGTGAATCCATATTCATTAGAGCATATACCTTGATTACTTCAAGGTCCTATTCAGAGAACCAGAAAATTCTAGTTTCATTATGTTCCTTTCAGCTGTTTGACTCCACTTAAGGATTGTCTTAGAGATATAATTCAGCCTAGTTCTTCAGAGCAGTTTTAGGTATTTGTAATTTTATAAAAGGTTAAATTATGGTTCTTAAATATGATCTCTGTTATATTAAAAGGTAGCTAGATTGTCAGGGTTCTTCTGAATAATATAATAGCCCAAATACAAAAATATAGGGCTAATGCAAGAATAACATAATATATAATTGCATAATATAATAATAAATTAGATAATGTATTATATAATCTATCACTCTCAAATATGACTATCCCAAGAGTAATCTAATGTAATGAGTATAATATAATGGCTATTCCAGATATATATTATTTCGCTATAAATTATTACATTTTAAATCAAAATTTGCTAAACCTGAAATTATGCTGTTTCTAAATAACAGGTAAAAATTGATGATATATTAGGTTTTATGTAATGCAAAAGAAATTCAAATGCTAGGATCATATATTTCCTTTTGTAAAATTGGAGTATTTTAGCACACTATATAGTCCTTGATTTAATTAAATTGGATCTTAAGACATTTATTTGTATGATTGCCACCAGCCTGAGGCACAGACTTCAGTGATAGAGGCTTTGGCATTTGTCTAGCAATAAATGAGTTTATAGAAACTCATTTTGGGTAGAACTTAAATTTCTCAGTAAAGTTATGACAGGTATTGCCAATATAATTCATATTTATCAACTACACATTTTCTTAAAAAGCTGTTTTCTCACTTTAAATTTTATTCCAGTGTATTAACATTGTATAATTGTTTTTTCCATCAAGAGAAAAAAACTTAGTTGCTTACTTTCTAAGTCCCTAAAAGACCTATGAAGATATATTGTGCTTTTGTCAAAGGGCTAATAGTGTATAGGTAATCTTTTATTCCCTTCTTGAAAATTTATGCATTATTGTAAAATTGTAAAGCATTACTAATTTAAAGCATTTTCAATATGTGCATTTCTTCTAGCTACAAAAATAAAAATGAAAATATGATAATAATTCCCCTGAAATTTAACCTTCTATTATTAAGGTAAATAAATACTTTGTATTTATAAATTAAAAAGTTAGATTCCATTAAAGGAAAATATCTACCATGTAATATCCCAATGCATATGTTTTATGAGTTTACAAATTTATATTTGGAAATATATTTGTAGAATAAAAACTTTGGAATTTATAATATTTGTCATAATTTTTTATAGGCAGTTTTGCTTTTTAAATAATTTTTTTCTTTAAAATAGAACCTGGGTTCTATTTAATGTTTTTAGTGGAGTATTACAGATTATTTTTATGTTTAATCCTTGTGATAAAATGTGTACTTCATATAACAGGATTTATGTTTTATGGCACCCTTATCTTACAGAAAAATTAAGTAGTTATAAACCTCTAACTAGCTATGCTGAGGTCTTGATTTCAGAAAGTAACATATTTAATGTAGTCACTACAGTCTGGCTATGGACTTCCTAAGGTACTCATCCTTAAATTTTTTTCATTTTAAACTTCTTGGAAAAAATCTTCTCAAATCATTAAATTTGCAAAAGAAAAAAATCTTCTTAACCTCACCTGTGTTTGCCAGAGCTCTTTTCTCTTTCTCTTGGCTATCCCGACTTTGACCTTGGGCCCCCATTTCATTAACAGGAGAGCATAAAACCAATTACTAAGGCAGATAAACTCTTATTTTCCCTACAAACAGATACCCATAAAGAGCAACTCAACTGAATTAGAAACAAGAAATAGGCCTTGTGAAATTGACTTTAGAGTCACTGCTTGGTTTTCACTGAGGACCTGTGCATAAAAATTGATATTTACTCTTAAGAATGTTTTACAGTCATTTTCCAGAATTCACCTTTTAAGCATTTCTTCTTGTTAGTGATCACTTTTGTTTTGTGTGCATTCATTTCAATCACAGACATCTCATATCAGAAATTCAACTATCGTTCTTCAGCAACTTCAAATGTTAATACCTCTATTGTTTTCTTTACTCTGCTATATCTAAATTCTAATTTCTGATGAGAAATTGAAATTGAAGAATAATCAGGCCAAATATAGAGTGTAAAAGATATAGAAAAACTAGAAGAAAGATGGAGACTAAAGTCATAATTTATGCTGTAAGGAGAAAAATGGTCACATTTCTTTTGAAATAGGCATATTTTGAGTATTAATTGAAATGTGCAGGAAATTAAGATAACATAGTATAAATCTTCTAAATCTGTTGGTCAATACAAATTAAATTATGATTAAAGAATATTCATTTACTGGAACACATACATTTTTCTCCCTGAAAATTTCAAGATTGCTGATGCTAAGAAGTGTCTTTTAAAAACATGAAATAGAGAAACTAGAGTATCAGCTTATTTATGAGAAAATAGAAAAATACACGAGAAAAAAGTTATTATTTTTAAAGGGCAAATGAGATGTTAAACTATTTTAAAACTTTATTTACGTTATATTTATAAAAACTATATTTATTTCACCTACGTTTATTGATGGATTACCGTGTATGAAGCGCTGTGCTAGGATATGATTTAGCTAATTTTGATTTATATTACTTTGTGATACTCTCAGGTTGATCTGCATTTTATGAAAAAGATTCCTCCAGGTGCTGAGGCTTCAAACATCCTAGTAGGGGAGTTGGAGTTCTTGGATCGAACTGTAGTTGCGTTTGTCAGGTTGTCTCCTGCTGTGTTGCTTCAAGGACTGGCTGAAGTCCCAATTCCAACCAGGTAAAAAGTATCAGAGCATCATCTGCATTTTTCTTAAACATTTTTTTTTTTAAATAAATCCCCCCTCAAACCAAAACCAAACCAAACCAAACCAAATGGAAAAACAAGGAGTAAATATAATTTCCTTTGAATGTTTTTTCTAGAAACTAATGTGTCATTCACAAAATCATTTCTTCTTGTTTGTGGGAGAGGAGAAAAAATATTTCAAAAATTACTCTGTTCTTTCCTCCCTCTTCTCAAACTCCAGTGTTTTCTTTCAGGCTTGCTTGTCAACTCTGAATGCCCTGGTCTGTATCACCACATAAGTCATTTCTTATAAGGTTGGTAAAAACGGTAAAGTGTTAGGATTGCCTCAAAGATTGCATGAGACTGTAGGCTGGTCAGACTCAGAAAGGTAAAGGTTTTGAAGGCTTAGCTTATGCTCAAATGAGTCAGCCTTCCGAGTACATGTGAGTGCCATCCTTAAGAGATGTCTATCTAATATACTGTGTATTTCCATCTCAGGCACAGTATGCTTCCCATACCCAGAATCTGAAAATCATTGGTAACAGCATTGTGGTACTGTGGTTGAATTCAAATCAAAAGTACAAATTTAGGGGGCCCAGGTGGCTCAGTTGGTTGAGCGACTGCCTTCAGCTCAGGTCATGATCCTGGAGTCTGAGGATGAAGTCCCGCATTGGGAATCCCTGCTCAGCAGGGAGCCTGCTTCTCTCTCTGACCCTCCCCGCTTCATGCTCTCTCTCTCTCTCTCATAAATAATAAATAAATAAATAATCTTTAAAAAAATAGTACAAATTTAATTTGATTACCTAAACTTATTTTCCATTTAACTACACATAAAAACTAACAACTTAGGGATAATACAAACCAAATTACATTGTTTATCACTTATCTCTATTTTGTAGATAATATATATGTCCATGGGCAAAATTGTGATGGAAAAGAAGACTCTTGACTTTAGCATGTTATGTTCCTAGTAGTTCATCCAGGGGATCTTGCTTCCTTCCTTTTTCCCTCTATTAAATGGGATTTCTATATACAGACAGCTGTTTGTATTCCCACAGTAGCACCTACTCCATTTCCCTCGTGATTGGTGACTTTGGTTGATGCTATGACTGTTTCAGGTCCTATTAGTATGCTTCCCCTTCCAAACACTGAATGCCTCTGCTAATTTAAAATGATGCAAAGTTCAGGTGCTATGGTACTGGGTTTGTAAAAACGTTTCCTCTTATGGACCTTTGGCCTTAACTAAAAACACAGAAGATTGCATCACTCTGTGCTTTATGGACAAGATATTCCAAAAATATGGAACAGTTTCCCAGGAGAGGCCTCATTTCATTAGAGCTCAGCTGACTAATACTGGATTTGGTGTTCAAGTACCTATCGCTGGGTCTGCATGGGGGGCTCAGGTGCTTAAGTGACCAACTTTTGATTTCTGCTCAGGTCGTGATCTCAGGGTTGTGAGACTGAGCCCTGTATGTCAGACTCCATGCTGGGTGTGGTACCTGCTTAAGATTCTCTCCCACCCTCCGCTTGCACCCCCCCCCCACAACACTCACACACAGTACCTATCCCTGAATCTGTGACAGGAACAGATCTGAAGCAGGAGCCTGGTTACCACTCAGGTTATAGAAAGAAGTGTCTGTTCATCCTGTTGGACGGCTACTCAGAGTTCTGATATATGCCAACTTTTATTAAAAAAGAGTGACGATGTCCTGAGCACATTAAAGTGGCATCTGACTATGATTAGACTGCATTTTCTTTATACACCTTGTGACCTGTTCAGAGTTTCTGGGAATTTGGGAACTGGATTTAAGATGTCAGACTTACTAATTGTAGAGATAGTATTTTAGTAGTTTAAAATTCCTTTTCAGTCGTCCAAGCAGTGCATTCCCTTTCCACCATTTAGGAAGATGTCTGATGAAATTCTGCGTCAGTGATGGCTCTGTATGACAAGGATAGTTCCTGTGTTTAAAAGAAAGAAAAGAAAAATTCCCAGGAGTACAGAAAAGCCTTAATAGGGTTATATACCCTCACTTTGAAAACTGTCAAGGTTTAGGTGACCTCATTTCATACTGACATAGTAAAATATGTGTAGAGAACAATGGAGGAGAAATTAGGGGCACAGGAGAGCCACTGTATAAGGAGAGATTAAAAAGACTAGACTATTTAGTTTGGAAAGGTGAAAAATGGAAGAAGATTAGTTAGACAAATAGAATAAAGCAAGCTGTCCGAGGTTCCTAATTATTGTCTCTTAGGGGGACAAAAGGGCACACCATGAATATAATAGCAACACATAGTAAAAATGTCAGAAAATAAATTTTTAGGACTTTATAAATAGCCCATGGAGTAGAAACCTGAAAAATGGCAAGATGTACATAGGTTACAATTTCTTGAAAGTATTATAGTTGATAAAGCCCCTGCCACCACATTAAGCTATTCCTGTTTTAAATTTATAGTGGGCATTTCTGTGTAGTAGAAATTGACTTGCAATCAGGTACAGCTGACAAAAAATTAATGTCAGACTTTCCAAGACTGTATAATATATGCTTTACATAAAAACATGCACAATCGCTAAAGTTTGTAACTAAATGAAGGGTAAGGTTATAGTATATGTTTCTTTAAAGCTTATGAAACTATGATTCTTCACATTTAAGAGCATAAACCATTTAACAAATTAATACCACTGAATTATATTGCAGAATATATGGCATTTAAAAATTTTCACGATTTCACTGTAGCATTGACCTTTTCAGAGACAAGACAATTACCAGTCCTCCAAAGTCAGAGCATGTACTGATTTCTTCAAAATCTCCAGTTGTGCTGGTAACTTTACTAGGCTTTCAGTCTAATTTAGATGGAATACTGCAATGCAGCCTGTATTTTTATTCCCCCATAATCAGAATTAATAGATCATTAACTCTCTATCTTTTCTTACTAACTGATCTTTGATTCTTGACAATAATTTTTTCAATTTAATGTAGATGTTACATATACCTACTGTTTTTTTATTATATGTTCTTGCTTTGTTTATAATATTATATTACCTTTTTCTTCCTTACCTCATTCTATAATTTGCATATTAGTGAGTTCTTCCTTGTAATTCAGAAAGATTTAATCATACTTTACTTTTCTCACCTTCCTCCTCTAAGGATTATAGAATCCTTAAAATTTTCACTACCTACCATGTAGGCTCTACAGTAATTAAATGGGAAAACACTGAGTTCAAAATAACCATGGATTTCCCTTGCTCAAGGACCTTAAGAATAAAAGTCAATCATTATAAAAATGCTTTAAAATAGTAATAAACTGTGAAAAAATATGTATTTTATACTGAAGTCCTCATCTTAAATAATTCTTTTGCGCTGAGTCATTCTGTAACTACTGGAATTGTTTTTTGTATTTCTACCATGAAACTTTTTGTATTTTTTCTTCTTAATTACAGATTTTTGTTCATTCTTCTGGGACCCCTGGGAAAGGGTCAACAGTACCATGAGATTGGCAGATCAATTGCAACCCTAATGACAGATGAGGTATTTATTCAAGTTCATTGGGAACATTTTCCCCTACTAGGTACACTTAACTTTTGGAGTTCCTGTATTCATGACTATCTGTTGTGAATCAGATTTCTCTCTATGGAACCCCCCATCCTTCTGTGCTTCCACTATAAAATTTCCTTTGGAAAAATTTGTTTGAAAGGGGTAACAAATTCACACACATGAGTATGATGCTTTAAAACCTCGTATTCTAAAGAAAATGATTTGGTGACACTTAGAATGTATTTATTAATATTCTCCTATAGAGTATGTGCTGCTAAAGTGAGTCCCATTTTTAATATCATTAGAAATCTTGTTTTTGGCAAAATAATTTTAGGACCTGAAAAAACAATGGTAGTTTATCTGAATAGTACATACAACACCAAAAGCTATGCAATATCTATCAACTCTCTTTACAGTTGCCTGAATGTTCTTAACCTGAGAGTCTTTGAACCATTAGAGGAGCTATAGATGAACTTCAAGGGACCTGTGATCTCTTTGATACAGCACACAAATTCTTCTATGTAAAAAAATTGTATGTAATTTTTTTGGACTGGAAAAAGCTTTTATCAGCTTCTCAAAGAGGTGTATGATCACAAAAATAAGAACATAAAAATAACATATAACTGATTTCTTGTATTCCCTAGTACCTTATGGGAATCTGTTGTTAAAGAGTGGATGCAAAAGATCACAGAAGGGTCATATATTCAAAATTCAGTAGTAAATAACAAACAGGTTATGCAATTTTTAGAATCTCATCTAAATAATGTATTTATTGAAATACTTTGGCTTTGGATACTTGAAAATCTGCAAAAAGAGTGGATTACTATTGTATATAATTTTTCCTAGGTTTATGAAATCTGAAAAATTTGAACTTGTCTTGGTGATATAAATTCTATTATATCTGTCCAACTTACGTTTTATGGTTTTGTATGGATCCGTTATTGTATTTACACATAGGAAACCAAATGCTAGAAGAAAAACACATTTTTCATCAATTTGAGAAAGAATCAGCTTAATGAGTGTTTTCATTTCCTATGGCTGCCAAAGAGACTTACCACAAAGTGGGTGATTAAAACAAGAGTAATTTATTTTCTCACATTTTGGAGGACTGGAAGTGTGAAGTCAGGGTGTCAGCGGGAGAGCCACATTCTCTCTGAAGGCTCTAGGGGCGAATGTTTCCTTGTCTCTCCAGTTTCTGGTGGCTCCTAGGGTTTCTTGACTTGTGGTGGCAAAATTCTAATCCCTACCTCCATCTTTACAAGGTCTTCTTTCTTGTGCCTCTGTGTGTCTCCTCCCTTTCTGTCTCTTATAAGGATACTCATCATTGGGTACAGGTCCCACCCTAATCTAGGATGATTTTATCTTGAGATCCTTACCTTCATTACATCTGCAAAGACCCTTATTCCAAATAAGGTCACATTCTAAGGTTCAGGTGGCCATGTTTTGAGAGGTCACTACTCAGTTCTCCACAGTATCACATTATTGAGGAAATCTGGAAGAAAACAGAGAAATTGGAAAAGGGCTTCATGAGGACCACAAACCTGCTCTAGTAGAATTCTCTTGAGAAGACACTCATGGTATCTTTGCTTTTAGTGTTTCCATATTGCTTAATATTTTGCAGTTATTACAGTCTTGCAAAATATATGACACTGTGATTTGCAGTCCACAATTTAAGTGTTGTCACTTTTATGCACGTATATTTCATGTTATATTATGTTTCCGTATCTACCACATTAGGAAATAAGATATTTCTGGGGCATGGGGTATATTATATGGTGAGAGGAGCATGCTGCATCATGGGAGGTTCACAAGTACTTATGGTATTTCTCTTCCTAATTCTTCTCTTTCTCAATTAGAAGTCAAGATTTTCTTAACAGAAAGATGTCAGTTCCAAAGTTTTTTTGACTAATCAAGTGGCCATGGAACAACAGGGAAGCATCCATGTTTTTTAAATTATAGATTTAGAGTGAGAGCAGAGAAAGGATTTCCATCTATTTCCTTGACTAATAAGAACTACCCAATTTGAGAGCAAGCATTAGCCATCTAAACGCAGGCTCAAACATAAATTTCTTCAACTTGAAAGTTTAGAAGTTCGTTTTGGGGCGATTTGTAAGTCTCTGTGAGCAGTGGGATAGCGAAGCAGAAATAGCCAAAAAGTTACTCCAGAAAATGAGAGCAATTGGTTATAATAATAGACCCATTGAATATAAAAAAAAAAAAGTTTAAATGGTTTTAAAAGAGAAAGAACTTTTTTTTGTTCAAAACCCAAGTAGAGAAGTTGTTCTGCTTATCTAATTGCTTTGAAGGCAATGAATACTTAACTCATTAAGAGTAAAATGCAATATATTGATTCATAGAGTTTAGTTAAGAAAGTGGTGAATCAGACTATGGTATCAAACTGTAAATTCCATGTTAGCGGTTACCACTTACTCATTTTTGTTCCCTGATTTTGTCAGGTGCTCAAATAAATATTTGTTGACTGAACTCTGGTGGTTTTTCTCCTCTCCATCCTAGAAATTTCTTGTAGGTGGTCAGTCTGTCTTTTCCTTTGTATCTTTAGACCTAGCATAGTGTCTGGTCATGACAGAGTTTAATCTTTCTTTTTTTTTTAATGAGTTAATGACTGAATGTGCTAGTCAGCTTAGAAATACCTCACATTGAATCAATTCGGTAAACTATTTTCTTTCTTTCCGTTAAGCGTTGCTAGCGATGAATCATATGATTTTGCTTATTGGCACTACTGCCAATGTATTTATCCCTTAACATTCTTAAACATTATTAAGCAAGCCAAATCACTTTTGTTTATATAAATAGTATGCTGATATTTTTCATAGCAGAACTTAAAACTGAGAATTTAAAAAAATATGTATTTATATAATTGATTTAAAAATAATGAGTATATATTAACATAAATGACAGTTTTATGAAAACAAAAGGAATATAAAAACAAAAAAAATTACTAAGAGTGGCATTGTTTTTTTTCTTCTTGTTCTGGAATTTTTTGCCAAGAATTTTCTCTCTTACCCAGATTTCAAGTCAACACTAACTCTGTTCAATCAGCAAACATGCCCAAATATAGTAGTTACTTAGGAAGTATATATTCAATAAATGTCCAGGTTTTCCCCATCCTTAAAAGGAAATCCCTCACGGCTTCACATAGCATCTACCATTGAAGAACTATTGACTGAATCTGAATTTCAAAAGCTTTGAAGGAGTAGAATCTTCCTGGACCTGGTTATTTTAGCTTCATACATCTCAGTGTATTACAGCCTGATTTTTATCACTACCACTCTACTCAAACTGCTTTCAGTAAGGTCCCTGTTTATAGAATATGCTATTCAATGTTCAGCACTCATGTCTCTTAATCTTCTATTGGCATCTCACTAAAACCTTGAAATGTATACTATTGCTTACCCTAAGGTAATAGTCTTTTATTTTATGTTCAATGAGTTTTATACTTTTTCTCTCATATATAAGTTTTTTTTATAAGTTTTTAATATACCTGGAATTGCTTTTCATGTGGGAGGTCGGTAAAGATCCAGTTTCATTTTTATTAAATAATCACTTGGCTTGGCACCATTTACTGGCTAGTCCATCATTTACTCAATTGTTAGCAATGAGTGCTTTTCAAAAAAACAAACAAAAAACCCCCACCCATCTCTGTGTCATCACTATTTTAATTACAATATCTTTACTGTAATAAGTCTTGGTCTCTAGTAGGACAAATTACTCCTTTACTTTGTTCTTTATTAATTCATTCAATAAATATTTATTGAATTTGAACTATTTATCAGGTACTCTTGCAGTTCTGGGGCTCTATCAGTGAACAAAATAGACAAAAGCTTTTTCTTTCATTGAGCTACTAGTCTAGTGATAAGATGAACTAACACATAACATAAGTAAATAAAATATATGGTATGTGGTCATAAATGCTATGGAGGAAACTACCAAAGCAGGGAAGGGAGATCGGGATGGAATGGGGAGAGCTGCAAGTTAAAATCAGGAACCTAAAAGAGGAGAGGGAGCAAGCTATTCAAATATCTGAAGAAGGAGCTTCCCAAGCAAAAGGATAAACAAGGGAAAATGCTTTCAGACAGGAGATGCCAGGAATATCTGGGGAACAGCAAAAAAGACAACAAGGCTGGGCAGGAGGGAGAAAGGGAGAGGGCAGTAGGCAATGAGGTCAAAGAGACAGTGGGCCAGTCTGTGTAGGGTATTTGTACGTCATATAAGGACTTTGATTTGGAAAGCAAATGGAAGGTCTAGAGTAGAAAAATGACATGATTTATCTCACATCTTAAAAGCATCACTTGGCTTGTGGAAGAGCAAGGGGGAAAAGCAGAGACACCAGTTAAGAAGGATTGCAACAATTTAGGCAAACAATGGTGAAGAGAGAGACATCAAGGCAATTCCACTTAAAATCCCATTGGGATTTATTGAGGAGCTTGATAAGCTTATTCTAAGAAATACATGGAAGAACAAAGGTCCAAAAATAGTAAAAGCAGGCTTGAAGGAAACAAATACATTTACTGAGGTTTCCTCCTAATTCATTGCTGGTTTTTTCTCAGTCTCCTTTTCTGGATCCTTCCCACCTACTGTATTGATGGGAACTTTGTTTCTTAATTATCCACTCTGGTTCCTACATTATCAGTTTCTCCCTCCCTACTATATCATTTCTATCACCTTACAAAAGATGATCTGGAATCTCCTGTCTTTTAAAAAGAAGAGAAAGGAAGGGAGGAAGAGAGGCAAGGATGGAGGAAAAAAATGGGTGGATGGGTGGAAGGAAGGAACGATGGGAAGGAGGAAGAAGGAAGGAAAGAAGGGACAGTTCCTAGTTGTGCGATGGAAATTAAAACTATGGAGGCACCTGGGTGACTCAGTTGGTTAAGCACCTGCCTTCAGCTCAGGTCATGATCCCAGGGTCCAGGAATCGAGCTTTGTGTCCTTCTCAGTGAGGATTCTGCTTCTCCCTCTCCTGTCCCTCCTCCTGACTTGTGCGCTTTCTCACTCTCAATCTGTCTCTCTCCCTCTCAAATGAAAAAATAAAATATTTTTAAAAAATTAAAAAAAAAATAAAGCCATGGTCACTGGTCTTATGAAGTCATCCTTGATTCCTGTATTATCTTTCACACTCAAATCTGGATTATCAGTAAATATTCCTGGTTCTGCTTACACAATATATCTGGAATCCTACTACTTTTGACTTTCTGAACTGTTATTACCTGGTTCTTACTCTTTTTACCTGTCCCGGCCACCATTGTTACTCTATTATTGCAATAGACTCCTACTTGTTCTCTCTGCCCTTACCTATTTCATTCTGTTCTCAATACACAGCTAGAGCTGCTCTTCTGCTCAGGGCCCTTAATGGCCTCTTATCTCATAATTCTTATAGTGATCTACAAAATCCTACAGGATGACTTTCTGCCCCTCTGACCTTTCCTCTCAGACCTCGTTTCCTGGTGCTCTCCCTCTAGTTTACTTCTTCCCAGGATCTGGCCTCCTAGCTATTTCTAAAATACAATGCATGCTCTCACCTGAGACTTCGCATGGCTATCCCCTCTGCCTGAAGAGCTCTTGCTTCCAATACCTTGTTTTTTGCTGAAATGTCTCACTGAGGCCTTCCTTAATCACCCTATTTAAAATTACAGCATCCCCTAGTCATACCCTTATTCCTCTTTCCTGCTTCATTTTTCTGCATAGAACTTAACACCCTCCGACAAAATATATACTCACTATATTGCCTGTTTTCTCTCTCTCCCCTCCCACTAGAATGAAAGCTCATGAGGGATGGATTTTTGTTGATTTTACTCACTGCTGTATCCTTAGCATATAAATAGTTTGATAAATAGTAAATGAATGCTCAGACTCATGTTTTAGCGGGGAAAATAAGCATTAAACAACGAATTATGTAATTAACAATTAATTACAGTAAATAATTGTAATGAAAACTATTAAAAAGAAGAAGGTGTTAGGAGAGTTCTAATAAGATGTCTGATCTAACAAGATGTCTGATCCTGCTTTAATTCTCTTAAAAGTCAAATGAAAAAAAAGAAATTGAAAAAAAAAGAAAAAGAAAAGTCAAACGAGTGTTGATATCAGAATGTTAGGCTAGCTACATAAAGAAAAGGGAGCAGAGCTGTTTAAAGTAAATGAGTTATTGGTGAAACTGGTGATAGGAAATCAATAGTAAACAATGTTTTTAATTTAAAATCATACAAGTTGTGGTATCTATATCTCTGAGGAATTTTAAGATAATAGGAAATCAGCTGTCTTGGATGAATTTGGACATTCATTTATCTAAAACAGGTATGAGATCATGTGATCCCTTGAAGCTATTTTTAAATTAAGAGATCAACTCAAGAAAGATTTCAAGAGAGTTGTTACTAGCAGGGAAAGAGTAAAGTAGCTAAACTCTCCTTGGGATTAAAAACATTTGTAATTCTTTAATGTCCAGATTAGGTCTCATGGCCATATAAAACTCTTTAGAAGGTAGATATCCTGAGCTATGAACTCAGTGGGTTGTGGCAGGGAAATCAGTATTGTCAATATTTAACAAAATATATCTTTCCCCAAATACAACTAAACCATTAACTATATCTTTGGTGTCTTTATTTTATCCTAAGCAATGACTGTATATTTATCACACCAATGATCTTCTGTGAAAAGTTCTTGTCTGGAAAGTAAGGAGAAAGCCTTTGAAAATAATCATTACCTCTTCTGCTGAAGAAGTTTAGATTAAGTATCAAACCAGAAAAACAAATGGTCTAAAAGTAGATAAAATATCTGAAAGCACAATTTCCCTGGAAATTTTGGAGTATGTGGTCACTGTACTATGCAGCTCAGCATAAAGAATAATTTACTAGCTCCAAGCCTGAAATATTTGTTCCATTTCATATTATATGAAATATGAAAAGTATCAGAAATATTTATATTATGTTTGGTATAGATAAATTTTTCCAATTTATCTTTATTTTTACTTTCTTCATTTGTTATGTTAAGTATATCTGTCCTCAGTGTGTTGGTCAGAAGAGATTCAGCTATGCTGCAGGAATAACCTCCTCCAATCTCAGTGGTTTAAAACAATGAAGATTTCCTTTTATCACGCTGTGCGTCTATCATGGGTTGGCAGAGGGGCTCTGCTCATCATGGTCCCTCAGGCACCCAGGCCCATAAATGCTCCATCTCGACTTGCTTTTTCTCAGTCACTATGGCACACAAAAGGCAATGTGTTAACTTACACACTGATTGTCATTACCTCAACTTGAAAGTGACATATGTATACCTGAATCGGACACACCTAACCCCAGTATCGAAGAAGGCAAAGAGTGAAATCTTCCCCTGTGTCTAGGAGATCTCCAGTGTCCATCATAGCCTAAAGGACTACCACAGTGTGCATGTGTGTATATGTGAATGGAACTCACCTTGAATGGAAATATGCTTGCTACACTCTATAGATATGATATATACCCAGAGACTACTAATTTATAACTTTATCATTATTAAAAAATTAAAACAAAATAAACCTTTTTAATTGGTTTATATGTTCCAGCATATAAATATTGCTAAAATTTTTAATATAGTCTATAGATCGTATCTCTATTTTTAAGCAGGGGCTTCTTTCTGAAAGTTTCATTTACCCACACATAAATAACCTCTGGCAAACTTGAATCCTTAATTCTAGTTTAATGAGCATCCTTTCTTACTCCTTTCCCTTTCTCTTACTCTTGTCTCCAGAAATTTCAACATTCATTCTACATTCTAAGAAAAATATATATTTATGTGCATTCATAGAATAAACTAAATTATAATTGTTTACATTAAAAATTTCTTTAGTTAGAGCTGCCTATTTCTTTAAATTGTGATAATCATATGTAAGATAACTGGGAAATGAAAACACTGAATGCCTTAAGATTTTATAATTACTTTTTTATCTTTTATTTATTGTTTTTATCTTTTCCTCCTATAGGTATTTCATGATGTTGCTTACAAAGCTAAAGATCGCAATGACTTGGTATCAGGAATCGATGAATTTTTGGATCAGGTTACTGTTCTCCCTCCTGGAGAATGGGATCCAAGCATTCGTATAGAGCCTCCCAAAAATGTTCCTTCCCAGGTATGTTTATTTGAAAATAGTCTTACAAATCCCATCATTCTGTTGTCTTTTAAATACATGTACTGAAATAGTATAACTCATTCAAAAGATTCAAAATGACTTGAATGATAACCTCTGTGATGTGATTTATAATAACAAATATATATTTGGCATTCATTCTCCTTTTTGGCACAGAGCTCCTAAACTCCTTTAAATTCCCTAAGTAAGGCAAGCAGCAAAGGTGTCTTTTGTTATGTTAATGAGGTGACTTTAGAACTCGCCAAGGGATGGGGGTTGGTGTCCAGCAGAGCCAACCATGTATTAGAGGGGTGGAATTTTCAGTCCCACCCTCTCACCTCTAGTGACTGAAGGTCACTTTTTGTTGCTATCCAACACACCTCCCTGACAAATTTGGTATATTGATGATATGCCACTAACTCAAATGGTCCCATATGCCTGGGAAGATTTTAAATCTACTTTAAAACATATTATACTAGAGGAAAATTAAAATTTTAATAAAATTGTAAAATATGGCTTAAGAAAAATCCCATTGCCATTTTTCCATGTTTTGATATAGTTCTTTGAAATTGACAAGTATTAAGAAAATTCAGCCTCTTGCCCAGATGTGGTGCTTCTGCCACTATGGCTTCTCATGGGGTTATTGGCATTTTCCTCCTCTCCACTCTTCCCTTCTTGTGTCTGGAGCTCAGCATGGGATCCCTGATCTAAGAATTAAAGATCTAATTTTGCTATATGTCCAGATTTTCTTACTGCCTGCTCTTCTTACTTTAATTATTTCTGTGATTACCTCATGGCTTAATTCATTTGAATCTTTCCAAGTGTATCTGAAAGAAGAAGAAAAGAAGAATGAGAAAAGGCAAAAACTTGTCAGAGAAAAAGAAGCAGCGCAGGGTAAAAAGGCCAGTAGATACCTAGAGAATGTTCTAAGACCCCCATCAGGAAATGAAATTGAGAAAACTGGAAAAGTGCTTTTATCAGATGATGGGTGAAACCTTGAAGTTAAGCAATGGTCATAAAACTGGGGGTGATGAAGATTTGGTGCTTGAAAATGAATAAGACATTTTTTGAAACATCAAAGAGAAAAGGAACAGAGACTCAATTTGCCTAATCCTTTATTTATTTATTTATTTATTTATTTTGAGAGTGAGCGAGCAAGAGAGAGGGAGAGAGTGTGACTGCATGAGCAAGGGAGAGGGGCAAAGGGAGAAGGAGAGAGAGGATCTTAAGCGGGCTCCATGCCCGTCCCCAAACCCATTGTAGGGCTGGATCTCAGGACCCTGAGATCATGACCCAAGCAGAAATCAACAGCTGGTTACTTAACTGACTAAGCCACCCAGGTGCCCCAACCAAAGTTTCACCAACTGCTGAAGAGCCCACACAGAAGGAGCTTCTTGACCAACCTGAAGAATCTCCTGAAACAGCTGAAAAAGTAGTTATTGCCCTCCAGCATCCAAGTGGGTCCTGAGAAGAAAGTTTGTTTAGTCTTGCAGTTCACAGGTCTTATTTGGATGATGAAAATCAGGTACCACATATCCCTATACAACCTTTTTACTTCCTTTCCCAGAGAGCCCCTGGATATGGAGGAAGCCTGGTCCCTTCAGGATATAGGAATAACTGTGGATACTATACTCAATGTGAAAGAGAAGGAGCAGAGCAACTAATTAACAAATGAGAACTACCTATACTACATAAAATCAGTTATGCCATGACCTTACAGAACACTAAAAGATTTACATTAAAGTCATGCAATACCTTGATTGAGCTCAAGGCAATAAACACTCTAATGTTGATATCCATGGGAAAGTATGGACACAAGAGATTGGAAAAGGATTGTTCTCTGCACGTAATGGTTTTTGGAATGTGCCATCTTATAATGTACCAAATGAAAACTAGATAAAAATGTGTACAGTAAGGCACTTAATAATATTTTTCTTAGCTGACATCATTTATCACTAAGTTGAAACACAAAGTCATATGACCTTGTTTTCTTCCTCTTCAGTCCACCTTGCCACATTGAACATTTCACTACTCAGTCAAACTCTTTAAAGTCTACCAAGTAGAAACGTTTATTCTGCTGTATTTCTAGAAATTAAACTTTAAAGACATTCCAAAGCTCTTTAATGCTTTAAAGTTCTTTTTGATATTCCGTAAGGTATTAGTATCCAAAATATATAAAGAACTTATAAAACCCAATACCTAAAACCCAATAATCCAATTAAAAATGGGCAGAAGACATGAACAGACATTTCTCCAAAGAAGACATCCAGATGCCCAACAGACACATAAAAAGATAATCAACTCATCGTCAGGGAAATACAAATCAAAACACAATGAGGTATCTCATCTCACAATTGTCAGAATGGCTAAAATCAAAAACAAGAAACAACAGAGGTTGGCAAGGATGTGGAGAAAAATGACCCTCTTGTACTGTTGGTGGGAATGCAAACTGGTGTAGTCGTTGTGGGTAATAATATGGAGGTTTCTCAAAAAGTTAAAGTAGAACCATCCTTTGGTTCAGTAGTCACACTACTGGGTATTTATCCAAAGAATACAAGAACACTAATTCAAAGGTATACATGTACCCTTATGTTTATAGTAGCATTGTTTAAATAGCCAAGATACGGAAGCAGTCCTAAGTGTCCATCAATTGATGAATGGATAGAGAAGACACACACACACACACACACACACACACACACACTATGGAATATTACTCAGCCATAAAAAGGAATGAAATCTTGCCATTTGCAAAAACACGGCTGGAACTAGAGAGTATAATGCTAAGCAAAATAAGCCAGTTGGAGAAAGACAAATACCATTCAACTTCACTCATATGTGGAATTTAAGAAACAAAACAAATGAGTAAAGGAAAAAAAAAAGTGAGACAAACAGACTTAACTATAGAGAACAAACTGATAGTTACCAGAGGGGATGTGGGTGGAAGTATGGGTGAAATAGGTAATGGGGATTAAAGAACATACTTGTCATGATAAGCATGAGGTGATTAAAATAATACCTTTTAAAAAAGTAAAAAAAATGATAAAGTTCTTTTTGATAGGTATGTATTATTTACCTAATTTATGTCAAGATTTATTTAATTTTTCCTTGCATTAAATTGAAACATTTACAAGTTCCAGGTGGGCCAATGGTTTTAAAAATAAAATAATGAAAATATTAAAAAAAGAAAATTCAAAGGCATGACTTAATCATATTATATAGAAAATTCCCCATTACCACTGATCATATTTATGATCAGGAAAAAATTTTTAATTATAATTCTTATGTATTACCTTTGTGTGGACATATGGTATAAAAATTACAAAAAATTTGCCTATAAAAATCCAGTGTGCTGTTCACTCATGATATAATCTGGAAAGGTAAAAATAAAAACTGTTGCTATTATTTGGGTCATTTTTTAATTGCAGGCTTGACTTTGTTGAGATTGGTGGCCAAACGTTTGTTAAGCCCACTCATATTGCCACCTCTGTTCTTACTGAATATGTCTCCTGAAACCCTCCCAGTTGTCATCTACTCAGCCTTGTCTTGTGCCCTTGTCCCTGTGGAGTACAACCCGTCAGACTCTACTGCTCTAGTTGCCTCAGAAGTTTTCCTGGTTAGCCAGGTGGGCAAATGAACAAGTGTACCACTCATCCATGAGTATTTAAAAAGGTCAGCTCAGTCTCACTATCAATTTAAGAAATATGTACTGAGGTCTTATTCTGAAGTCATTTCATAATTATTAAAGATTATTTTGTTTCCTTTTCTCAATTATGACAGTTTTCTAATTCTATACCTACAGCCACATAATTTCTGTTGATTTCAAACTACTAAAAAAAGTTGATTAAAGAGTAACTTCTAGGTTACAGATTGACTTATTTTTGTACTTGTAAACATCTTTACACTTAGAATATTAGAAAAGGCAATATAATGCTTCCTGAAGTAAAAAGAAAGAAACTCTTCAATTGATGTTATTTGGAAATATTCTGTGAAAATATTAATACATTGACAGTGAGACTTTAAAAGTCACTTGTTAACACCATTTAGTTTTGTAAACAATAAACTGAAGTCAAGCATTTTTTAAAACATCTTGCCTTTGAGGAATGATGTTTTTAAAGCAACTTGAGGTCTGGGAACTCTCTATTTTTAAAATTATTTTTATGAGACTCTTTAAAATCAGGATTAATTATTGGATTCTGAGTATTAAGAGGCAGTAGTACATTGAATTAGGTAGTATAACATAGAATTAGGAATCAAGGTATTTGGGTTCTGCTATGCTTCTTTACAATAGTATTTCTTAAATGTGTGTTGTAATTGAATAACAGATCCTATGAACTATGTTTTCTTTCATTAAATGAATCAGGATAAATTAAAAGATATTAAGCACTCTGACTTCATATTCATTCAAATACTATTCTCCCCATGGGATAATTTTTATGGTTTTTATGTTCTTTTGAAATGTGTAAATCACAGATTTTTTTTTTTTTTCTTTTGGAGAGAAAGCACAAACATGTCAGTGGGGATGGGGGCAGAGGGAGAGGAAGATACGGGGCTTGATCTCACAACTCTGAGATTGTGACGTGAGCCAAAATCAAGAGTCAGAAGCTTAACCGAATGAGCGACCTGGGTACCCCATAAATCACAGATCTGTAAACACTTTTTCTTTTCAGTTAAGAGAAGACTAACTAGTTACCCTAAAGGATAACCTTGAAAATATTTGTTAGAACATCATGTCGGGCATTATAATCACTCCCTTGCGTATACCCTAAACTCCTTTGCTTTTCTCTCATGCCATTTACTTGCTTGTTGAAACCACAACCTTGTGTGAATCCAACTCTTTAATCTGTACCTGCACTGATACAGCTGAGCATAGCTAAAGGAAATCATAACTACACTGACTGATCTCATTAATTCATGACCACCTACCTCAAGTGGACCTTAATGTTGCAAGTTCATCATACTATACTCCCTAGGCCAATAATTCTCCCTAGATGACTATTTCAGACCCATTTTCTGTCCTCAAGTCTTCAGCACATCCTTCCTGAACCTCACTTTCAGATTTGACTTGCTTCCCACTTCCCTGAGAAATTTGAAATGATCAGAGAACCTCCCTAGACTCTCATTACCCTGCCTATCTGCCTACTGGCATCTGCACCCACGTACTCTGCCTTCCCATATATTACTACCTATGAATTATCCGAAGTTAGAATTCTACCTTTGCACTAGATCCCATCTCTTCAAACCTATTCAAAGACATTACACCATCAATTCTCCTCTTTCTTTCCTCTATCAATTCTTTTGTTCTGTATTATGTCATTTTTATTAGCATGCAATCTAATTAATTTGCAATTCTTAAAAAAAAAGAATTCTCAATACTGCCACTGTCAGCTACTCATCCATTTTTTTTTCCCCAATGCAATCAAATGGCACAGAAGGTCTCTGTGCTACCTGCTCCAGTTCATCTCCTCCAAGTCTCTCTTAAACTTTCTCCAATAAGGCTTTTGTCCCATCACTTCACTAAAATTACTTACATGAAGGTCACCGAAGATCTCCACAATGCTCAATCCCATAGTCAACTCTCAGTCTGGATTTTATTTAGCCTGTCAGTGAATGGCATTTGACTCCCCTTTCCCTGATATATGCTCTTCGCTTAGCTTCCAAAACACCACATTCTTGATTTTCCCCCTAGCTCACTGGTTACTCCCATCTCAGTCTCCTATGCTGGTTTCTTCTTTCTTCTTTGATTTCTTTATTTTGAAATGATGTAGGCTCACTCTGTAGTCATCTTCTCTTTTCTACCTACACACATTCTTGTGATAATATCATCCAATCTTACTGCTTTAAATCCTCTTCCAAATTAAATGTTTACTTTGAACTTGAGAGTTATTTATCCAAATGCCTGTCCCATATCTTCACTTTGGTGTCTTATAGATATCTAAAATTTGACAAGTCCAAAGTTTGAACTGAATTGTAGATTGTCTCATTTATGCTCCTGTATGCATCTTTGCATTTATGTTAGAAAAGGCAATATGATGCTTCCCGAAGTGTACAAGAAACTGATCTTTTTGCAAAGTCTGTTCCATCTACACCTTCCTATATTGATAGGTCCTAATTCCAATCTTACTGTTGATCAAGCCCAAATCACTAATTTTTAGTTTATTCTTAGATTTCCATCCTGCCAGGAAATACTCTTGGTTTTGCCTTTAATATTGCCAGAATTACACCATTCCTCATTGATGCCACTGCTACCATCCTAGTTCAAGCTTCCATAATTTTCCTCCTGGATTATTGAAATAGTTTTTAACTGGTCTCCTTGTTTCTGTCCTTAGCCCGTGTGTTCTCAACACAGCAGCCAGAGTAACTCCAAGTGAGATCATGCTTCTCCTTTCCTCAAAACCCTACAATACTTCCTCATTTCACTGAGAATAAAAGCCAAATATTTACAACGGTTTACTAAACCTACCCTGGCATCCCTTTACCTTTTCAAAGTAAACTCCTACCAATTTCTGCCTTGCTTACTCCTCCCCAGCCATTTGGCTTCTTTGCTTCTTGTTCTTCAGACCCTACAGCCATATTCCTGCCGTGACACTGTCCCATTGGCTATTCTTTTTGTCTAGATATCTCTCACTTATTCTCATGGTTTATTCCCTCGACTTTCTCAGGTTTTTCTCAAATGACATTTTCTCACTGATCTTATGATGGTTCTAATCACCACTCCTTCCTCCCTACCTACCCAACCCACACCTCAGACCACCTCTTACTCTATTCTAAATTTTTATCTTTACATAGTTTTAATCTTTCTAACGCACCATAGAACTAATTTATTTATGGGTTTATTTGTTTATTGTTGGCATACCCCATTAGAATGTGAGCTCCACAGACCTGATTTGTCCACTGTTATATTAGTGGTGGGGCCAAGAACCTGACACAAATTGGTTCTCAATAAGTGTTTGTTGATTGACTAAATAAATTGTATAATTTGAGTAGTCAAATATATACTCACTCATTGATTTGTTTTAAAATACGAAAATACTTGTGTTTCTGAACAAAAAATATTACCTGTATTTTTGTCGGAATATTTATCAATACTGTTCATACATCTCTTTTCACATACCTTTTCCTCTTACTATAAGCTGAACACTCCTTGATTAAACAGGTGCTTTAGAATGGCAAATATCTTTCATGGTTTATCATTTGCCTTATCTAAGGATAGCTTTTCCCATTGTAAGACAGTGAGTTAACTTAGCCAATAAGGGATAATTATCCAGAAGACCAAATAATATCACTTGCTTTCTGAGATTTGTGGAAGCTAAGAAGTGTTTCCTGGGTGACTGTTGGGTATTGAAGGTACTGAGGCCACTCTTAAAGCCCTTTACGATGGATGATAATTATTTATATGTAAAGGCAGTTCCTTCATCAATTGACACACATCCTCTCTTATTGAACTTTAATTCATTGTACCTGGAAAATTATAAAAATATTAAACAATGACCTTTTCTATATTTTGTGCATTTCAAAGCCTATTTTTCTCATGTTTTAAACTTGTGCCATTTTACCTAAATGTCTCATTGTACCCAAGAACATTTGATAGTGGTTACACTATTTTGGAATGGCAGTTAAGTAAAAATTTTAATTACACCACTTAAAACATTTTTATGATCCTTTTAAGTCCTTTTGAACACATTGGCATGCTCTAAGATAGCTGATAGGTAGGATTTTCTGATTTTTTAAAAATCTCCGTCACTGACAAAAGTGGGTGGAAGACATTTGTGAATAAGAGCACTTTTACATAAGCCTCAGCTAATTTTTCAATGGCTCAACTAGAAGTCTCCTTTTGTAGTAATCTTTTAAATCTCTGTGAGTCAGAAAAAAAAACCATATTGTAAAGCATTCCATGGGTAGGAAGATATCAGCCAGAATAAAAGAGGGAACTACCCTCAAAAATAGCTAATGGTAGCAGTTTAAATTTATTGAAGGGTTGAGCTATGCCAGGCATATAACACCGCCATACCTAGTGCCCCCTCACTCCAATCTACCCAGCCCTTGTCTCTCTGCCCCCTTCCTTTTCTTCATTTGTCTTCATAGCTCTATCTCTACTTGACATTAGAGATTTGTTGTTTGTCTCCAGTAAGAATGCTTTTTCTGGCTCATCTTTGCCTCTCTAGCATCCCTAACAATGCATGGCCCATGAGGCACCCAACAAAGATTAGTTGAAAGAATGAACAAATGTCCATCACTTCATTTAATTTTCTCAATCACACTGATAGATGTTATTACTACTAGTAAGCAGAGGAAGGAACTGAAGCTTTAGGAAGCCTAGATAACTTGCTAGAGGTCATGCAGCAAATAAGTAACAGAGCCTGGGTTCTTAGCCACTCTGCATATTGCCTCAAGGGAAAAAAATTTGTTTTTGTTATTTACAACTAGCACCTGAAATTAAAACACAAAAACAAAAAACTTCCTGCAGGAGAAGAGGAAGATTCCTGCTGTACCGAATGGAACAGCAGCTCATGGGGAAGCAGAGCCCCACGGAGGACATAGTGGACCCGAACTCCAGCGAACTGGAAGGTTAGTGAAAAGCATCTGTATGGTACTTCACAGACCAAATGGGATACTGTTCTTTGTGTCAGGAATTGCCATTTTGAGATGTATTTTTTTTTAGACTTTGAGTACTTAAAGAATACCTATTTATTTGAATACCTATTTATATTGAATATCTAGAACTTGAATACCTATTTAATGCCAATTAGTTTGATTTCCCAGTATTTGCTAATGATTTTTGTTACTATTAAACCAGAACAGTGGATACCTCATTCTATGTTATCTTACCCAGTCTTTCGTTTTGCTGTGCATAAAATGCATCCACAGATTCTTAGAATGAATAAGAAAACTGTCAGTTGTCCCTTCTAAAAGAGCCTGTTGAAAGCTTCAAGTTCAAGATGGAAATAAAAATAAATACCAAGAACTTAGTCTTATAGACCCTATCTCATTACATGCAAGTAGGATGTATATAATAGTATTTTTTATTTTTGTGGTTGTAATTTGAAAGAGCTATATGATTTATTTTTCTAATCACACATCTTTGAAGAGATGAAAGCTTCAATTTATTTCTTAAAATGGTTCTTTATCGTTTTTTGACAGCTTGTCTCTCTTCAAGCAATGTGTGAGCAGAAAATCAGAAAACCTTGGGAGGGTCTGTCTTCAGGGAATATGTGCACACAGCCTCCATTATAATTGAAAGCAATGGCAAAGGCTTTGCAGGATTGGTACTCCCAGCCTCTCAAGGCCATTTCCGGGACTGCTTTCACTGTGTCCTCTAAGCCGACTTTGCGGTTTCTGACAACTCTGTGCATTTTAATTCTCCTCTGTTCTTTCCCTTTATCTACGTTTTGTCTCTGAGGAAATGTCTTTGAACGTCTTCCTCGGGCTCCGTATAATTTGAGATGATTCAAGCAATTTTTTCCTTTTCCCTTTACTGGAAGCGCGGTTACTTCTTCTGTTTGCTTTCATATTTTCAAATGCTGTCTTTTTATTTTGGGTGGTTCTTTTTTTCTCTCTTTCTCTCTCTCTCTCAGGTGTAACATGCCACATAGCTTAGATTTTTTTCGAAGTTCACTTTTCCTTACTGCTTCCTAAATCCTCCCAGGTCACCAATATCCGGTATCTTCGCTTCTCCAGAGTTCTTCCACAGATTCTGTTGCTGACATGACTTGAAGTATCCATTACTCATCTGCTCTCCTGGAGTTGCTGGTGTACATCTGGGCTGCTCTTGCACTGTTCTCTGCAATGACCTCTCACTTCCGGATTTAGATTTTTGCTGCTAACAGCACGTTTATTACACAGTAATATAATAGCTATTTAGACTAATGTATGCCCTAATAAGTAATTAATTAGAAAACAATGGTCTAATAGGAAGTACTATCAAACCTATAAATGTTAACCACTAAGTAATAGTTCATAACCACCTCAAAATATTTTGGGGATTAGGTGGGATATAAATTATAAATGAATGAGTAAATAGTAGATTAAATCTATTTTGAATTGTGACTTTGATAAGTTAACACACCATTCAGAAATGATCCTCCCCAAATAAAAACTATGCATATGTTTAACAAACACAACTAGGGGAAACTAAGGTGATCTTTGTGTGTGTGAGTGTCACAAGTTCACTGTGTAAGCTTCTTTGAGTTTAAATGTCCTCTTTTCAATTAGAATTTCATCCTACTCAGTTTCTCCTACTCCCTGTCTTGCTGATGGAAGCAATCACTAGGTAATAATAGTGATTCTATCGCTTATGTAATAGTAAGATAGTTACTAACATGGTACTATTGTGTATATGTCAGTCAGATCAGGGCACTTAAAAATAATAGTCATAATTTTCTGTTATCCTGAAGATACACATATTTCAACCCAAACCAGAATTTGTTTCTCGAGAGAACAATAATTTTTGAGGTGATTCTAAGATTGCCAGTGAATACTTCTATGTAGAAAATAAATAACAAAACTTGATATTTTTGCATAATCCAAATATATTCAGCATACTGGCACTGTACTGGAACATAGTAGGTTTTTTTTAACCTCCCTGTAGGAACTTAATCATAGTCTTATTCATTTTAATACGACATCTTTATTCCATGGAGCACAAAGAGCTCTTAGTAGCCAAGTGTTAAATCCACATATTTTTACCAAATGTTCCAAGAATTAGAATACCTGTTCATTAATACTCTTGTTCCTAGTAGATTGAAAACATTTTAGTCCTCAAATTTTAAGGAGCATTTTATAATTTAATGCTATTCACCCCTGGACCCCTGCCCGCTAATCCTCTTTCAAGTATTTCAGTGTGGGTTTTGGGTACATTTAGAATAAGTGAGTTTATACCAAGGAAGGCCATTATTGTCTTGTGAATGATAGATGTTGGGATATGTTTAGACAAAAGTGGATCAAAATTACATTTTTCTAGATTGGTTATTTTAAGGTCCCCTTCCTAATTTCCTAAAAATGAAAACAATAATGGAAGCAATCTGTCTTTACCAGATATTACTGTCATCCATAAGGCCATTTAGATGCCTGTTGGAAATGATACCTGGTGAGAAATATTTTGGCAGAGAAAGCAGGTAACTGGAGCCATGGTTAAACACTCCATCTTCTCTCCAGGGTAATGCCCACTATTGGAGAATATGAAGGCCAGTTTACTCTCCCAACCTTCACTTTCTGCTATGCTAAATGAAATGTAAATGATTAGAAAATACTGCCAGTGATCGAGAGTAGCAGGCCTGAGTGTAGGAGGAGTTGATGAATATAGAAATGGCACAGAGGTTAGAGAAATCCTTAAATTTCATTATTTGAGTTTGGATGGAGGAACCGCTCTGAACCTTGTCTGAGAGAACCTGGGGTTTTTGGGTTGCTGGCACAATATTTGGTTAGGACTGGAAGTAACATAGTGGTACAAGCCATCTCTGTAGATCACAAGAATACAATACAGCAGGTTAAGATGGGTCTCATCTCTGCTGATGGAAAACGTATACTGTGACCTGGCAACAAAGTAAATGAGGGTTTTGATTTGTGTGGGTTTTTTTTATATTTGGATTTCACTCTTGTGTTTCTCCCCCCTGTCTTAGGATTTTTGGGGGACTTATTTTAGATATCAAAAGAAAAGCTCCATACTTCTGGAGTGACTTCAGAGACGCATTCAGCCTGCAGTGTTTAGCATCTTTTCTATTCCTCTACTGCGCCTGCATGTCTCCTGTCATCACGTTTGGAGGACTGCTGGGAGAAGCAACTGAAGGTCGTATAGTATGTATTATGCTCTCCTTGGATTTTTAAAGCTCAATCAGTGCTTAAGATTCATAGTTAGATAAGTGTCCATTTGCTTTTGGATTCTGTCATGAGGAGAGATTTGATGTGTGGTCGTACCTGTACACTTCGTACGAGTTTCCTGGATGGTTAGTAGAACTGGTAATCCGGGAGTGGAATACCTCAGGACAAGTTCTCAGTCCCACACAAAGTTCTGGTCTCATCCCTGACCCTGATCCTTAGCTAGCTTTCTGCTCTAGTTTTCAGCTCACAGGGAGTCCTTTTCCTACTTACACCTTTTCCTGTTTATACAGGCCATGCTTCTGTCCTGAGACTTACTATGAACACATGTAAACTGTTAGAAGGCAACCCCCCCAAAAAAAAAGCAAGATAAGGAATGTGGTGAGGACATTTCCCAACTGAGTACCACTCATATTCTGCTGACCGTTTGTCCCTTTTCTTATCCTCCTACCCCACATCCTGCCCAGGGTCGCTGGACTATTCATAGCAAAGGAGAAAGGATATACTCATGTATTTTAAACATTTTCTCACTAGTTATAATGGTTGCCTGTACAACTTAGGTAATGGACTTTTTTATATCTCTACACAGAGTGCAATCGAATCTCTCTTTGGAGCATCGATGACTGGAATAGCCTATTCTCTCTTTGGTGGACAGCCTCTTACCATATTAGGCAGTACAGGACCAGTTTTGGTGTTTGAAAAGATTTTGTTTAAATTTTGCAAGTAAGTGTCAAATACTTTTGGCCCTATACCCCCTCTCTATTTCTCCACTGTATTTATACTTCTCCCAACATCACATTTGGGGTCTGCTGGGAGAGGCAGAAGTGGTTGATTCGATTCAGTTTGCCATTTTGTCTCTCCATGGAAAGAAAGGAAAAATAAAAGATTTGTGTAATATGTTAAGTAAAATTCCTAAAAGATGATACTCTTTAAACACTGAGAAACCTCTTTTATTTTTGTCCCCTTAGATGTTCCCTTTAGACAGTCTTGAATTTAGATACTCATGGGATGTGAAACTTATTTCCGTTCATGTCCTGAATTAGACTTATTTCCATCTATTTAAAATGGTGGCAAGCTGTTAAATGACCTTATTCCCACTGTTCTTTTCCTCCTTCTAGAGAATACGGGCTGTCATACCTATCTCTGAGAGCTAGTATTGGCCTTTGGACAGCAACTCTGTGTATCATACTTGTGGCCACTGATGCAAGTTCCCTCGTCTGCTATATCACCCGGTTTACTGAAGAAGCTTTTGCTTCTCTTATTTGCATCATTTTCATTTATGAGGCCCTGGAGAAGTTGTTTGAACTCAGTGAAGCATATCCAATCAACATGCATAATGATTTGGAACTGCTGACACAATACTCGTAAGTAACATTTCCCCTGTTGGCTGTGGGCTTTCCTCTTTACAAAAATTGCTATTGTTTTAAGAAATATGAGAAAATTTGCCCTGCAGATAAAGTGACTTAAATTGATTCATGATCTAAATCCCGACCAGACTCTCAGAGTTGAACAAGATTTTGAAAGTCCTCTCTTCAGCTACCCATTTGATACTTGAGTTCTCACTATACAAACACACAAAACTCACTGAATTTAAATGTGATTTTTGCTTTCAGAACTTACAGCATTTATGATGGAGGTACTCAGGCTTTGCCTGTTGAAGGTAATACTACCGTTTAGATTTCAAGATGGGACTATACCTACTGCACTTTCTAGTTTTAGTACGCCAGCAGTTTGGAATTTCTCTAAGCCTGTTTTTGCAGAGTGTATGTGGACATTACGTTGCTCCTTTCTTTGATTTAATTTTAGGATTTTTTGGTTGCATTTATATAGATACATTTTTGTATAGCAAATATTTGAAGCAATATGTCCTTTGTAAGTCAGTTAACCACCAACATTTTTCCTATAAACTTCTTAGACATGGCATCAAATCGTTTGAAGGTTTATTACCTTCATGGAAGACATTGGAATTGTTGAAATTAGGCCAAAATAGTGTAATGTTAGAATTTTGTTGAGAATGATGTAATGATAGTTTGAAAATAGTATGATTTTTAGTACTTTAAATTTTTCTTGGTCATCATAAGTATATTTAACAGTATATGTCTCTTTCTTAAATAACTTCCCCCAAAAGCAAATAGTGTGGGTGTTATGAACAGGACTCAGAAGTGGATAAAGGAGGTGCCAAGGACACTCAGGAAGCAGGCATGATTTGATCAGGACATGATTTGAAGCAGGACAGTTTGATCAGAATGAGGGATAACCCTTTCATTTCTCTTTAGAGAGCAGTGTCACCTAATTTGTATCTCCTTGCTGGACTATATATTTATCTGCTTGGATTTTTCAAAGTTATTACATGCCAGGCACTATACTAGAGATGTAATATTCTGTCCCCAGTGAGTTTCCAGTTTAGTAGGGAATGTAGACAAACAGAAAACACAATGAAATAAAGTGCTGTGTTAAGAGATTGATACAGAATGCAATGGTACCACACAGAACATCCTACCCAGACTTGGGGTTCATAAAGGACTTCCTGGATTCCTTCAGGAAGGAGGGCATAGAAGACCAAAATATTGGTAGGAATTACGAAAATGCTGAGGAATAGTGTAGGAGAGAGGTCCAGATGGAAGGAATGGCACAGGTCTGGATGTAAGAAATATATTAATACTTTGAAATATATATATATATTTTTTTTTGTTTCTTTTCAACTTAACAGTATTCATTGTTTTTGCACCACACCCAGTGCTCCATGCAATCTGTGCCCTCTCTAATACCCACCACCTGGTTCCCCCAACCTCCCACCCCCCGCCCCTTCAAAACCCTCAGATTGTTTTTCAGAGTCCATAGTCTCTCATGGTTCACCTCCCCTTCCAATTTCTCTCAACTCCCTTCTCCTCTCCATCTGGCAAAAGTCATAGAGATAGTGGTAAAACAAGAAATTAGATTCCAAATAAGCTCGCCAAAAGAAACAACATAGAACAAGTAAATCAGGTAAAAGGAGGACTTTCCCATTTGAAGTGGTGGGAGGCACCACCTGTCCACCCTTCTAGTTGTTCCTGAACCTTCAGTGGCCACTTCTAAGGACTTCAGACCGAAGAATACCATTTAATATCTCTCTGGATTTAAAAAGGAAAAAGATCAGAGAAGCAAAGACTGGATAATGGTCATAGCTTGAAGGTAGAAGAAAAAATAAGAGAGAAGGATCAGAAAAAGAAAAAAAAAATACATAATGTCAGGTTGTCAAAGGCAAGGGACGAGGCTGTGCCAAGAGACCATTAGAAGACAGTGGTAGGGAGAGAGATCATCATTAACTTAAGAAACAGTATTGGGTGGGGAGGGGAGGCAGAACTACAAGCTAGTTTGCAAAAGATGAAGAAGGGAGTAGGCAGTAACAACATGGAGAAAGTATGCACAGGCCATTTTGGTATCAAAGAAACTGAAAAACAGTGCCCATTGGACAGGCCAGTGAATTCCTGCAAATGGTAATTTGTGACAGAAAAGAGCTATGTGTGTTTGGAAATGAGGACATAGAGCCAGAGGAAAGAGAGAGATTAGAGATGATGGTGAGAGAGTAGATAAATGTGGGATTGCAACCTCCCTAAAAACGATGAGATCAAGACAAGTTGTGGGGTCTCAGAGGATAATTGGAGAGCAAAAATAGCTTTGTCCATGATTCCTGCTTTTCAGGGCAATCAGGAGGAGAGTTGCATGGGTCCTGACTCTTAATGTTTCCATCTCTGCTTTTCTAAAAACAGATCCCAACAAGTTTAAGTTCAAGTTATGCTTTATCACGGGGTATGCATCCAAAACCTAATCTTTTGAAGACTGATCAGGAATGTGTACTAATCACTGTGTCCCATTGTCCAAGTTCTCTTCTCAACCAAAGTTAGGGAAGACTGGCTCATCCTGCTGGTTGCTGAGGTTTTAGTACAATTTGGTGCTGAAATGGGTATAAGAGAAACAGGGAGGTTGACGATTTCTCTGGGAAATGTGCTGATCAGATATCTGTACAGTACCATCCTCACTTAGATTTTCACATTGTGATTCCCAGGCTCCCAATACCACCCACATTACACTCATGAATCTGATCAGTATTGCCATTACCTGGTCTTTGGAGAAGCAAAGCCAATATTTTGCTATGCATATAACATATATTTATCAATGTACTTTTAGTCATGTGTGTTTAAAAAAGTAAGTAAAAGTATTGCTAACAATAATGGCTAATGCATTGTGTAGTCTCATATGTGTGCTTGAAAGAACTTTCTGTTTCACGGATTCCATATGACTTCTGGTGGTTTTCTTGTTCTTGCCACTGTGACCTTTTTACACTAATCAGTTTATAAGTGCCATTATACTCATGCTCACCTAAAATTTTCTTGATGTTGCTGGCCTCATGCTTTCACAGTTTCTATGAGAAAAAATCTTAGAAAATGTCATAGCTAGGATGCAGTATATCTGAGATTGCAATCTTTGCAAAATTAATATGCCTATGCTTTCACATATTTTGTTTAGTTATAAAATATTGAAAAAGGCATCGTATTTAGGACCCATGTTTCAGATATTCTTTATACTTGGGCCACCTATATTCAGATTTTCTTAAATTCATAGTTTTACCAACCAAATAACAAAATGCCTTTGATTTTTTTAAAAAAGGCTTTCCTAGTTTCTCTGGCATCTTAACCTTATAATGTGGTAATATGTAGACCTTATATTTGAAGCTATAAGCTTTCTTTTCATTTTGCCAAGAGCAAGTGTCAAGATAATCAATTTAGTTTCAAGAATATATACATTACACCAGATGATCAAGCTGAATATGTCAAGTTAGCAATAAGTAATGAGTTTGTGGGAATAACTTTTTCTAGGTTGCTTTGATTTTAAGAAATGGCAAAAATAGAATAAAACATTCTGCTTATGTAAGATGGAATGTTCCTTCAATATATAGTAATAATCTAAAGCTCTCAAAGATGGCTAGCTAAAGAAAGATTGGGGTGGTATTAATTCTTTGCAGTTGGTTGGGTCAAAGCAAAGAGCAGGGTCCAATATACTAGCAGACTAGAGTTAAGTAATATTCAACAATTACCAAACCATTAGGAGGGGTGATTTTACTGCTAGGTTATGGAAAGATTTTGTTTGTTTGTTTGTTTAGTTTTGGTATCCCCCATCTGTTTTTTGTTTTTTTCCAACTCCAGCCCTCTACATAAACCAGGACTATTCTGGCTAAATGTTATTTATTGAGTGACATTATACTCATAGAAGAATGCTGTTTTTCTTATCTCCTCAACTAGATTTGAGCCTCCTTTAAAGTAGAAAACATACAATAATTTCATCCTTCCAATCCCAACATAATACTGTAACTATAAACTATAGGAAGTGATATATACTGAATAACTGAACATGTTATAAAATAATTGACATCACCTGGCCAATCTTGTTTGGCAACGTGCTCTTGGACAGTAACTTTAACATGACTATCAAAGACTTCAGCCAGAAGTTTTGAGTAAACTTGAGATGCTATGAATATCTTAATGTGGGATAAAGATGTACAAATCTGGATCTGTAAAATTAGCTCTGACTGAAGATTTACTCTTGGTGCCAATATGGTGGATAAATCATCTGGAAAAACGAGAGGTAGGATTGCAACATTTAGCAGAGACTGAAAATTTCTCAGTGATGTAGGGAGAAAGAAGATGAAAGGGAAGTTCTCATAACTCATTGACTTTATAGTGTTCACTAGTCAAAGAATAAAGAATAAAACTCGGCTTTAGAGAAACCCCTGTGTTTCAACTTTCTAAAATCAGATTTTTACTTCATATACAAACTTATCCAGATTTCTTGCAACATTAGTTTATAATTATACTTTTATGTATTTATTTCTGTAATGTATGTATAACTCCACCAGGTTAATCTCTGTAATTCCAGGTCCATGACTAATAGGCACTCTTCTGAACCTACTGTCTTTATGAAGTGCTTTGCATGTGTCCTAAAATGAGCATGTTCATATTTTTACATTTTTGGGAAGGCCCCTTACAACTGATAGACACATTTAACATAGAGTTTTTTCTCTTTTAAAAAGCTGATTATTGACATCTTAGAATCAAATAAATATAATTATAGGCACTCAATAAATGACTATTCAGTAAAGAAACTTCTGGCAACCCATCCCATTCTTGATTTTTAATCCAAACACTTGCTATCTTTGCTTTTCCTTCTCGCTTTGAACTAAATTCTTATTTTAATGATAAAGTCTTAACTTCACTAGCAGTAGCATCCAATGTAAGTTTATCATTTGCCTGTTTTATCTTCATTGTTTCTAATGGGTTATGAGACTTTTGAGTGCTAGATTAATGTCTCTTCATCTTTCTTCCTCCAG